GAGGATAAGATATTGGGAGCCAGGTTGAAGATGAAAGATTCCTGTCTGCTATTGATGTGAAACATGAGTGAGGCTGCACCTTAGAACCTAGGTACTGCTAGAGGGGCTGAGCTGGAAGGGAACTCAAGAGTCATTTCGTTCCATCCTCAACCCATCCTCAAAAGAAGTAAAGTGACTAGTTTGAAAAATCATAGAATCTTAGGATCAGAAGGAGACCTTAAAGGCTCACCTCCTAATGGAAGAATACCTTCTAGAGTAGCCTGAAAAATGGCAATTCCAAGCCATATGAATACAGGGGTGGGCAAAACTAGGTTTACAGTTGTGAGTACGAGAAACACAGAGTTTATTCTTGTACTAGAGGCCCGGTGCATGAAATTCATGCATGGGGGAGAGGGGTGTGTCCCTCAGCCCGGCCTGTGCCTTCTCACATTCTGGGACCCCTTGGGTAGGGTCCCTAGGCCTGGCTGGAGATCAGGGCCTATCCGGGCTTTCCTTCCCCTGGCTGCTGGCAGCTGGCCTCGCCCCCACTGCTGCCACTGCTTGCCATCTGTGTGGCGCTGCTCCCCCCCCCTCGCCCCCCAGCCACCGGTCGCCTCCCTCTGTGTGTGACAGGCATGGGTGTGATCACTTGGCTGGCCTGGGCCCTCTGCAGGGTGATCGCTGGCCGGCCCTGCACACCCACCACAGCGTCACTGGCCGGTGATCTGGGCCTCCCTCTGTGGGGCAATCGATCAGGGGCCTCCAGATTGATCGCCCCACAGAGGGAGGCCCTGCCCACCCGCCGCAGCACCACCAGCCGGGTGGCCTGGGCCTCCCTCTGCGGGGTGATCCTGGGGCAATGGCGGGGGGCCCCCGACCAATGGCATCACACCCGCCTTGAGTGGCCTGCTGCCAGTGTGTGTCATAGCGTGGTCGTCCGGTTGATTTCCATATTACACTTTTATTATTATAGATTATTACTTATTAATTATTGTATTATATATTTGCATTATTTGTCTTTATTATTATTATTATTTGATACCCTTCCTTATGATTTATCTTTTAGGTAAAAATGGCTGGTAATTTAATCTACTTTTGCCCACCCTGTATATCCAGCAACCAGGATATTAACCTTTGATGAATAGCTCTAGTTGTTAGTGAGTTCTTTCCAGTTCTTAGATAAAACTCTACTTCAGTGTAAGTGTACGCACTGAACTTGGCTTTCATGTCTTGGCTTAACACTTCTGTAGGTGAAATACACCCAGCTCCTTCAGGTATTCCTAGTCTATGGTGGTTTCCAACCCCATCACCATCTTGGGTGCCTCCCCCAGATCTATTCCCGTCTAACAATGTCCCAATTAGCAAGTGGGGCTCAGAATAGAACAAAATACTCCACATAACAGGCTGTTCTAGACATAGTAGGCACAGCAAGACTATTTGTTTCCAGTTCTGAACAGTATCCTACTATCAGTGGTGCTAAAGTTCTTCTTAGATATTTAGCAATTAGATTTCAGTTTGACCTACATTTGTAATTGTGGCACATTTGTAGTTCATGAGTAGGATATCACTCATATTACTTTATATCAAGCTCCCTTTTCCCATTAACTCCTAACAAACCAAGCTTCTTCCATCTAAAGTAGGTAAATAAAAAGCAAGACTTTATTTTCTACCTTCTTGATCTTGACCTAGAGACTCAACCTGGCATTTTAAATGAGAAAACTCTCATACATGTAAATGAATATTCTCCCTGCTGTATTCATGTTCATATAGCATAAGCTAATCTACTATGTCTTCATACCAGTCACCAGTAAGAGAGAGGTACACAGAAATAAGAGAATTTTTTAAGAGTTGCTTTGTCAGCCCAACCTCTTTTCCCAACCATATTAACTTATTCACATGTATATAAATGCAACCTTTTGTGATGTGCTGTGATAAAAATCAAGATAGTCTGTGCCTATGACATTTCTCTGAGCTACCAAACTAGTTATGCTACTTAAAAAGATGTAGGGTAAGTTAGTCAAGTTACTTAACTTCTCTAACCCACTTCCTTATCTATAAGATGCTGGTATTTGCTCTACTCTCTTTACCAGCTTTTAATTAGGAAGGCTCAACTAGTATAAGACATTTGAAAATGCTTTGCAAATTTTAACTTTCCACAGAAATCTAAATGATGATATGGTGATTTGTTACTAATGCTGAATGTGAGTGACTCAGGCCTGACTGCTTCTTTTAATGCTGTTTGCAATGTCTGTGAGCCCACCAGTTTCTGACTCAATACTGAGTCTGGGTTTCTTCCTGTTGGACCTACCTCCTCCAACACCTGCAATAGATTCATACTCAGATTGTGGTTCTCTTGCTTCCTTCTGTTGTCATTTTCAGTTTCGGACCTGGATAGACATCAGGGCTTGTTGCATGATGCCCAGTTCCCTTGTGACAATTTCAACCCTGGGCAGGGTCTTCAATTCAGTGCCCAGCTGGGTGTCCAATACCCAGGGACACTGAGTTTGTTAGAGGAATGACTAAATAACTGAATGAAAGATGAAGGAAGGCCGCTTTCATTCTCACTTTTGTACCTTTACTGTGTTTTTATTCTCTCATGAACAGACAGACAGACAGACAGGCAGACAGACAAATACATGCACAGAGAAACAGACAGATAGCTAGGTGGCCTGTTAGACAGGTAGGTAGGTAGGTAGGTAGGTAGACTGACAGGTAGGTTGAATGAAATCCCATATGGGAAAGCATGATTTAAATGTTCTTGTTATACCATTGTCCTCATTCAAGGCTGATTTTCAGCAGATACTCACTGGTGTGGTGGCATCATTGTTGGGGATAGAACTGGATAGAACTGCCCCCAGCACCCTGAGTGCTTCACCACCCAGGCCATCCCCTGAGACTTGTCCTTCCCCCAGGCCTCCCTGATCTTCCCACAACCTAACAACCCAGGAGTAACTCCAGGCTCAGCTATGAGCTTCCAGGACGATTCCCTAGCATTTGGATTGGTGTGCATTCAGATTGGCCACTTCCACTGCCAGGCAGGCTGGTGACATTTTTCACTATCAGCCCTGCCCCATTACTTACCTACTCTCTCCCCATCACTGAAAATCTCCCAGGTCCAGGGCATGCCTCATCCCCTCCTGCTCTCCTGTGCTTCTCCAGCCCAGGCAGAGCTCCCGCCTACTCTGACTTCCTTTGAGTCTTGTGGTCTGTTTCTACTCATCAGACACTTAATTGTACCTGGCCTTGCTTCTTTTATACAACTTTTCCTGTGGGTAAGGTATTTCCCCAGCTCCCATGAATTCCTCAAGCTGGAGCAGATCGAATACAGACTGTGTATCCATTGCAACATCTCCTACAGTGCTAAACGGGGGTTTAAAGTCCTAAAATGGAATCTGATAGAGCCTGGGGACCGTTCCCCACTACAGCCCTGAAAGGGAGGAGATGCTGTCAGGATAGCGCGATGAATCCCCAGCCTCAACGATGAACACTCAGAACAGCAGAGCCTCTGTCAGCCTGGGCTGGAACTTGTTTTGCCTCTCGGGGACCAAAGCCTGGAGCCTGTTAGGCTGACATTTTCCTAACAGCTTTCAAATGTCACATTCCAGCATCCAGCACTCCTTGTTCTTTACTTCTTTTCATTTTAGAACATCAAAAAAGTTTTTGTGCTTTAGAAAGACCCCTCTCCCTCCCTTTGAATTTTCTGCTTTCAGGAGGGTGGTGCTGGAGGACAAGTCCCCAGGGCACTGCCTGAGAAGACTGAGTGGCTCATCCCGTCACATGTGCGTCACATGCCCGTGGCAGCCAGTCATGCGTTGTGTGCAGACGCAGATGCGGCATTTGGTTAAGCAGGGAGGATGCTGGCAACCCCAGTGCCTTTTCAAACTTTCACCTAAAAAACTCATCGTTTAGTTTCTCTTCAGATTCCCTTAAAAACACAGGTGAAACTTTGCACCTGACAAAAGGGGAAAAACCTGGGTTGTACATATAAAAATTTTGGCAAAAATACCACTATATTTGATATTTGGGTGACTTTTTAAAAAATATTTTTTAATTTATTTCAGAAAGGAAGGGAGAGGGAGAGATAGAAACATCAATGATGAGACAGAATCATGTTCCCTACTGGGGATTGAGCCTGAAACCCACCAGGAATCCAACTGTGACTTCCTGGTTCATAGGTCGATACTCAACCACTGAGTCATGCTGGTCAGGCAATGACTTTTGATTTTCAATAGACAGACAATACAATTCTAAATTTCAAAATATTAAAGAAGCTTTAGAACTTGAATAAGATAATTTAATTTAAGACATTAAGGTATAAATATTATTTTTCAGATTTAAAATGTGAAATGTGTTGCCCTGGTGTGGCTAAGTGAATAGAGTAACGTCCCTCACACTGAAGGATGGCAGTTTGTTTCCTGGTCAAGGGCAAGTACTGGGTTGCAGGTGTTATCCAGGGCCTAGTCAGAACACGTGCGGGAGGCAACCAGTCAAGGTATCTCTCTCACATCAATGTTTCTCTCTCTCTCTTTCTCTCTCTCTCTCGCTCTCTCTTTTCCTCTCTCCTCACTCCCTCCATTATCTCTAAAAATCAAGTGAAAAAATATCCTCAGGTAAGGAGGCTAACAACAATAACAAAAAATGTTAAATGTGTTTTTAAAACCTTTCAAATACAGAAAACATATAAAGAAAATAAAAGTTCCTAATTATCTTATCACATCAACAGAGGCAGTTACTGTTAGTATCATTCTAACTTTAGTTGAGAAAGCAAATGAGAAGGAAGGGAAAAAAAGGAGTACAAGGTTTTAGATTTTCTTTTCAAACATGTAAAAAAAAAAGGACTCTGTGCGAGTAATCCCCAAATTTTTAAAAAGAAATGACAGATATTCTTATTCCAAATAACACTTATATTGCCAGGAGTACCATTGCTGGAGTACACATCACAGTGTTTCATTGATCAATGAGCTTTACAGAGTTCTAGTTTTTATATCACGGAGGACAAATACAATATCTATGTGTATACTTTTGATATGGAATGGTTTGTGAGTTTCATGTCATCTTTGTGCAGGGGCCATGCTAATCTCTGTATGGTTCCAATTTTAGTATATGTACTGCTAAAGCAAGCACTTAAAATAATATTTTACAAAAGTACTATCATTACAAAAAAAACTTATGAACTAGAAATAAGGGGGGAAATTACACACAACCCCACCACTTTAATAAAGTCATTAATATTTCAGTACACTACTTTCCAGCCTTTTGTTCCATTCTCACTTTTTTCTTCAACACTGCAATTGAAAGCAAGCTATTATAAGACCACCTACTTCACTGCCCCACTGTGATTCTCATTCTCTCTCTCTCTCTCTCTCTCTCTCTGTCTCTCTGTCTCTCTCCCTCTCCCTTTGCTTATTACTCTCATGAGTCTAGAGCTTTTATAGCATGTTGGATACAGAGAAATGGCTTTCATGTTGTTAGCTGAGGTTCAAATTCTGGCTCTACTGTGTGGACTTGAGAAAATTATTAAGTAACTGGTCTCAATTTTCTCATCTGTATAATTTCCTCATCCCTACTCATTGGGTTCTGTGAGCATGGAAAGAGATAATGTGTGAAAACTGAGTGACAGAGTGATAAACTCAGAGTAAGTGCTCAATATATAGAAACTATTTTTTTCACTTAAAATTGCATCATAGCAACTACTTCATATTTCTATATAATCTTCCTGTCATTTTTATTGCTAGATAGTAGTATAATGCAAATATACAAATCACTAAGACTAATTAACTTTCATTTTGCTTGACAGGTTATTTCCAGTTTGGGGCCTCTAGATAATACTGTAATTAATCTATTATTTTTCACATAATACACATTTCACTTTAATCTACAGATTTCGTTTAGAAAATCCTTGGAAAAGTATGAACCTTGACATGGTTCTTGCTATACACCAGAGCTTATTTTTTGAGCTCATTTTTTAAACTTAGAAAGTAATCTAAGTGACTATCAAGTTTTGTAACTTGCTTTTTTCATTTATTGTTATGATAAAGCTTTTTAAAAGTCATATTTTTACATTTGCAATGGACCTCTCCATGTCCTTAGCTTTTTCTATATTTTTGGATTATTTCCTTAGAGTATATTTACATAAGTATAATTAAATGGTATGACAAATCATATGGCCTCTTATCTACAGACAAATCACTCTCCAAAATAATTGTACTAGTATGTGCTGACTTTTATGACCACTGATAATTTATGAGTCTACTAATTTAAGACCACATTCTGGAACATTATGTGTTATAATTTCAAAAGCTTTGCCAATGTAATGATTGAAAAGACCTACTTAAGTTTTGCTTGATTTAAATTTTAAATTACCTGTAATGTCAGCATTTCATTTTTTGAATTTTAAAGCAAGCGGAACGGAGACACTGGGAAGCTGCTTGATTTGACTTGCAGCCTGATTATATTTCTCCTCCATCTATACAACCCAAACTTTCAGGCATTAGCTGCTTCCTCTGTACTTGCAGCTGTTCTGTTTTAACATGGAATTCTATTTTTACAGAACAAAGCAGAAAACATGCCACTCTCTGAGTTTACTTCTCCTAAGAGGAGCCTGCTGTTGAGAATACACAGTTACAGAAAAGATGTTCTAGGAGGCAGCTGATGACTGAAGAACTCTTATAAGAAAAGAGTTTCCTATTGGCATCAGCAAGGTCTTATCTTACCAGGTAAAAGCTCAGAAAAATGATTCTGCATATTCAGAATAAATCTGAAAAACTGGATTGCACTAACCAAACTCCTAAAAGACTTTTCTACAATTAAAAAAAATACAATTAATGTGCAGATCAGAATTTGCTTCAGAACATTCTATTTCCATAGAAAGGTCTATATGAGAAATGAAATTATAATCAGATTCTCAGTATCCATTGAATCAGTATGGGGTGCGGAGAGGGGATGGTGGCTGAAATAATTTCAATGGCTGATGTTATCAAGTATCTGAATTTGATGCATTCATTGCCACTGGAGGGACAGACTGACAGGCTTGGACAGGCTTGGGATTCACTAACACATTTTTCCATGTTGGACTCTTTTCCCTAGACTTAATGCACATTGCCTCCAAATTCAATCCTGTAATATTTGTTAAGCATCTTCTATGTGCCAATCCTTGTATTTGGTGCTAGGACTACATAAATAAATAAAAATCAGCTCCTGCTCCCAGGCACCTCACAGGCTTTTGGAGAAAACAGAACACAAATATAATTTTTAAATGCCATAAGACTTACAGATCTAGGATCTGATTTCTTGTTACATGGCTGGCTTACAGAATCTTAAGTCTAGCTCTACTATGTGAACTGAGCAATTTATCAAATTTCACTGGGTCTTATTTTGCTTATATGTAAAATGGAGGCAATAATAGTTCCTGTTTTATTGAATTGTGAAGTTTAAATGAAATAATACATGTAAAGCAATTAGAACAATATCTAGTACATGGTGTGAAAGTTAGCTATAATGGTAACCTCATGATGTCTACCAGCAATATTTCAAACTCAACTAAAGGAGGAATGTATAGTCTAAACCCTTCCCAGCACTTTAACACATCTATATGCCATGATAGTCAGAAATGTATCATCAAGAAAGATGGGATGATTAACTTCTGAAAATGTGACATCACAAATTTGGAAGTGGCCTTATATGATAGTGACAAATATTTTTTACAATATGTTCCTAATATCTTGTGCTCTACGTTCCAGGAAAAGTCTGGATCCATTTGGGCACTTTCAACACCTCAACACAAAAGATATCACTTTCTTATGCATCTGTCCCAACATACAGGACACACCAGAGTTACATTCATTTCTGGTTTCCCAGGCTAGTTTTGAACTCCTTAAAGATAAAGATCATGACATACCCATCTTGAATTCCTGGCCTTTAACATAGAGCCTTGTGGGAAGTAAGAGCTCATCAATTATTGATTGATTGAATAAATGGCTTTGGTGTCTGTATCTCCAGCATCCAATCTTACTTTGGGGACCTATTAGGCATCCTACTTTAAGTTAAAATATTCTGAATGGAGCTCCAGACTTAAGACACTACTTACATATCCTTTTTTTTTGTTTGTTTCAGTAATTGGTTTAGGAGAAGAAACATGACATAAGCTTGTCCAGAGTTCATGTCTGAATTTTTTTTGGGGGGGAATGCTGGAAAAAACACTCTGTGTTTTTGTTGTTGTTGTTGTTGTTGTTGTTGTTGTTGTTGTGTGTGTGTGTGTGTAGGGCATTGGTGGGTTTGAACATGGAAGGTTTTACTGGCAGAGATCCTGTGATCATGAAGGCAGAACTTGTTTGAAAGCAGTTAACAAAATGGAAGCAGAGTGAAGAGATGGTACAAAGACCTTAGATCTTGAAGACATTGTTAGACCCCTGTGCCCATCTGCATCTTTTATTGTTCAATTACATAAACCAATATTTCTTTTTTTCTCAAAAGCCAATTTGTATCAGGTTTTCTTTCACTTGCAGTCAAATGATACAACAAAATGCAAATTCTTCTATAAGATGCATTTAAAAATAAATTTATTTGTCCTATGCTCATGGCCAAAGTAGGTGCCCAACTGTTACTTTCTTATTCAGTTAATCAACAAATAATATGTTAGGTTTTTGTAACCTGGTTAGATGCCACAAAGTCTAAGAAAGTCCCTTATACTGAAGTCTAACTGGGATTCTTAGTCTCTGTATTTTCCTCTTTCAAGGAATACATCTGTTTACCCAGAGGAGTTTTGATTCAGGAATGAGTTGGTTATTTGTGTCCTGTTCTCAGTTCAAGCCTTTCTTTCTTTACTCTGCGCTGTGGTGGTAGGGCTGGGATTCTCAAACCTCATTTATCAAACTCCCTTGTCAGCTGGTTTCCCATTAAGTTCAGGAGACAGGAAACCCTAAGGGAACTGGAATGTGGTAGGGAATTCCTTACTGTTCCCAGTTCCTGAATGTGTCACTCTTACAGCAGTATTTGATACTAGGGAGTGGTGCTAGGAAACAGACTGTCAAAAGTAGGATTCTGGGATTGATTTGCATTGAACTCAGAACTGAACATCTTGCCAATGCAAAATGGGCACTGACAATCTGTGGCATGTAATAGCATCATGATTTCAGCTCAAATCTTCAGAACATCCAAGTTTTTCTAAGGCTGCCCTAACAGTAACTCCTATTCCTTCTAGTTATAGGACAGACATGACTAAAAACTCAGACCTAATTCATAAACTGACCTAGTTGCACATGTGAAAACTTAGGCAGTAATTTGGAAGGCATAGGACTCTGAAACCGGGAATGGGAACATTTATTTGAGCGGACTTGGATGAAGCTGAGAATCTTGAATCCCCCACATATCCCTGAGAGTGGAAGAAGCCTCTCATTTCCCATTTGAGGATGCTAGCCTTTCTTTGCTTAAAAACCTGTAATAAGTACATATGAGGCAGTTGCTTTGCATGGGGAGCCCTAACCCTACTGTTGTTAACTCCCATGGCTTTTATCTAGGGTCAGAACACAGCACATTTGGAGGGTCAGGGGCATAATCTGGCTGAGGAGGAAAAGGCTTATATGCTAAAATAATTGCAATATTTTCTTAAATTTATATTAGAGAGCAAGAACTCGGGGGCAACTGTTTCCCAGACAGGGGTGCTCACAGAGGTCATTGTTCCTATGCTGGCCTCCCCATCTCAGAGCTGACTGCCAGCCATATCTGAGTTTCCATCAGCCTGGCTCACACTGTTCCCTCTGCCCTGATGATTGTATGAGACCCCAGCCGATCTAACTTGCAGCCCCACCCAAGCTGTTTGCAGTGGCTTTTCCATATGACTGGCCTGTCCTGTCTCAGGCTTCAGACATTCCTAAAATCTCTCAAACAAGCAGCAGCTAGTGTCAGCATGCTCCATACCTATCAATAAGAGGCCCATGACCCGGCACTAGCTTCACAGCTTGGCCTCTCCTGGGCACTTCCAAGCCCAACACAGGTAGTAGCCATCTATAAATCACTCTGTAGCTACTGATGGGTGGCCCCAGGCAGTGGATGACTTTGCACCTCCCAGGAGGCCCCAGAGCCAGTGCACCCAGTGGAGAGCTTCAGACCATACCAGATTATAACTCTATACATCCACAAGTGACACTCAGTGATCACCAAAGCACTCAGTGAGCACCAAAGCACCATTGAAACAAGTCCTGCTCCATAGGGGTGTTTCTGGCACAACAGCTCTACCACTGTGGTCCTCACAGCCAATTGGCCTAGAGGTCAATTCCTCACAGTGACACTAACAGCAATCAAGGTTCAACCACAAGACTGTGCACACAGACCACATAGGGGTAAGCCTAGAGTGCCCAGCTCAGGTGACTGGGGAGGCTGAACCACTGGGATCTACAGGACACCTACTATACAAGGCCACTCTACCAAATCCAGGAAACATAGCAGTTCTACCTAATACAAAGAAATAAACACAGGAAGCAGCCAAAATATGGAGACAAAGAAACATGTCACAAATGAAAGAAGAGAAGAAATCTCCAGAAAAATAACTAAATGAAATGGAAGCAAGAAAACTACTAGATACAGAGTTCAAAACAATGGTTATAAGGTTGCTCAGGGATCTTAATGAGAGCTTCAAGGGACTTAGTGAGAATTTCAGAATAATGTACAGGGATTCAACAGCAGAGTAAAGGATTCCAAGAATCAAATCAATGATTTGGAATATGAGGAACTAAAAAATACCCAATCAGAAGAGCAAAAAGAAAAAATGAATTAAAAAAATATGAAGATAATGTAAGGAGCCTATGGGACAACCTCAAGCATACCAACATTCTCATCATTGGGGTGCTAGAAGGAGAAGAGAGAGAGTCCAAGATATAGAAAACCTCTTTGAAGAAATAATAACAGAAAACTTCTACCTGGTAAAAGAAATAGACTTACAAGTCCAGGAAGCACAGAGAGTCCCAAACAAGAGGAATCCAAAGAGGCCCACACCAAGAAACATTAAAATTTAAATGCCAATGATTAAACACAAAGAGAAAATCTTAAAAGTAGCAAGAGAAAAGCAATTAGTTACCTACAAGGGAATGCCCATATAACTGTCAGCTGATTTCTCAACAGAAAATGTTCAGGCCAGAAGGGAGTGGCAGGAAATATTCAAAGTGATGAATAGCAAGGACCTACAATCAAGATTACTCTATCCAGCAAAGCTATCATTTAGAGATAAAGAGCTTCACAGATAAGAAAAAACTAAAGGAGCTCATCACCACCAAACCAGTATTACATGAAATGTTGAAGGGTATTCTTTAAGAAGAAGGAGAAGAAGGAGAAGGAGGAGAAGGAGGAGAAGGAGGAGAATCTTTAAGAAGAAGGAGAAGAAGGAGAAGGAGGAGAAGGAGGAGAAGGAGGAGAAGGAGGAGAAGGAGAAGGAGAAGGAGAAGAAGAAGAAGAAGAAGAAGAAGAAGAAGAAGAAGAAGAAGGAGAAGGAGAAGATATAAACAATAAAATGGCAATAAATACATAACAACAATTAAACCTAAAAATTAAAATAAACTAACAAGAAATCTAATGAACAAAATAAACTGATGAATAAAATAGACCTAGATGCATGGAAACATGGAACAGACTGACAAATCTCAGAGGGGGGACAGGAAGAGATTAACCAAAAACTTATATGCATATATGCATTACCTATGGACACTGAAAAAAGGTGGTGAAGGCCTGGAGTGGGGTGGGAACTGGGAGAGGGGACATCTCTAATATTCTCATCAATATAGATTTAAGAATTTTTTTATTAGAATAAACCTAGGTAATATATATGAGGATGGATTCTAAGGGTATTAGACCAAGGTGAACAGAACAGAACATCGGGTTGGGGCCAATTTTAGATAGCCTAGATATAATATACTTTCCATATATTTTTTTATTTAATGCTAATATAGTAATAGTCCCCAGGGAATCATGCCACTTTGTATATTATGCCCTCATGTGACACCCTTCCACATTGATTTTTGGCATGGCTCTCTGACTCTCTTTGGCCAATGAGACATTAGCAAATGTGATACAGACAGAAACCTGAAAAGCACTTGCACTTTGCAGCTTGCTCTCTTTGTGCTGTTTTTGGACCAGCCTTCATGTTGAAGAAGCATGAACAATCTGCTGGAGACACATGGCCTAACTGAGAGCCAGCACCAACTCCAAGACTTGTGAGTCAAAGACCAGCATCCTCCAGCCAATCTGTCAATTGACTGCAAATGCATAAGTGAGCCCAGTTGACACCATGTAAGGCAAAAATGACTTGCACCAGCTGAGCCCAGCCCAAATTATTTACCTCCAAAATCATAAAAGCATAAATGATGAACATAAGCCACAAGTTTTATTATACAGCAAGAGCTAGCTAAAATATGTGCATTTGCTTGAACAGCTAGAGATGGCACAATTGGCTTACTTGGTTGGCTGAAACCTGGGCTCAATAGCAAGCTACATTCAATGGTGTTCGGTTGACAGAAGAATTTCTCTGACATAATGTACAGGAAGAATTCTAAAGGCTTAGAGAGATAGGAATAATGGAGTAGTTTATTATGTGTAACCTGTCCATCTTTCCTCACCCCACTGGGCCCTGAAAGTGTCCAAGGAATATTCACTTCACTAAAGTATTGAGAAATGCATTAGTGAGGCAGCCCCAGCAACCTTAAACACCTCCAGGTAGACCAAGGACAATAGTGGGAAATGCTGCCATTGAGATGGGCTTCCTAATTTCAGTGGGGATAATGAGATCCCAGAGTGGCAATCAGAATTTTTTACTCAAAGTAAAAAAAATCTTTGGTGGTGGTTGACCCTAAGAATTAAACATATGGCTGGACTACCAAAGCAATAGAAATATAACTTGAGTTCTCACAACTGAGAATCACAGCTTCTTACATTCCCAGACCTTATTAGTTCACAGATCTGAAGCTCTGGGTTGGAGAGGAAGAAGAGACCCCTTGAGAAAGGACTCTGCAACAATACCACAAATACTTACTGTAGCTCTCCCTCCAAGCCATCCCCAAATCATTTACTAAGGTGTCTGTGCACTGGGAGAAATGGAAATACCCCGGCTTTTCAGGGATTCCTAACCACTGTTCTGAAATGATGCTAATCCTTAAGAACCCCAAATGCCACTGTGGTCCACTGGTCAAACAGGGGCTTACAGTAGTCCCCCTTATCTGTGGTTTCACTTCCCACAGTTTTAGTTAGCTGCAGTCAACAGTGATACAAAAATATTAAATGAAAAATTTCAGAAATAACTACTTCAAAAGTTTTAAATTGTGAGCCCTTTTGAGTATAATGATAAAATCTCACACTGATCAGCTTTTTCCCGACCCATGCGTCCATCCCTTTGTCCAGCATATATGTGCTGTATATATTCGCTGCCCATTTGTTACTTACTAGCCAGCTTGGTTATCAGATTGACTGTCACAGTATCTCAGTGATTGTGTTTAAGTAACCCTTGTTTCACTTAATAATGGCCCCAAAGCATAAGAGTAGTGATGCTGGAAATTAGGATATGCCAAACAGAAGTTGTAAAATGCTTTAAGTGAAAAGGTGAGATACTTTGAAAGGGAGAGGCCACATTCACATAAATTTTATTAGAGTATATTATTCTAATTGTTCTGTTTTATTATTAGTGTTGTTAATCTCTTACTGTGCTTACATTATAAATTAAACTTTATCATAGGTATGTATGTATGGATAGGGAAAATGTAGTACAGTATATATCAGCACTGTCTGTGGCTTCAGGCATCCCCTGGATGTCTTGGAACATAATGCCCACAGTTAAGGGGGGAGAGGTGTATAGTGGCCAGGTGATGGAGTTTGGACCTAATTCCATCTTGTCATGAATCTGTGATCCATAAAGCCATTAAAGATGATAATTAGGGAGACCAGTAAGCAACATAGTTGCTTATGGTACAATGACAATTTGGGGAAAAAATAGAAAATTACATGTTACAACTAACTATAGCTGAAGGTATGTACATGTCTGGAAGAAGAGCAAATGCTGACAGCAAAAATGAAAATACTTTTGCTTGGATGATGAGATCATAGGTGTTTTTTGGTTTGTTTGGTCTTTCTCAATTCCTTAGACTCTCCCAAATGCTATTTTTGCTTCCCTTTTAAGAGGTACTTTTTTTTTAAAGACTTAAAACTCATCTAGCTATTTTATTTTAAAAATGGCCATTTATATACTTTTCAGTCAATCATATTAAGGTCATAAAAGGTCAGAAGGTCAAGTGTAGCCATTCTCCTCAATATTATAATGAATACTAGAGGCCCAAAGCACAAAATTCATGCAAGAATAGGCCTTTCTTCCCCTGGCTGCCAGCACTGGCTTACTTCTGGCACCTGGGACCCAGGCTTCCCTCGCAGCCCCAGCTTTGTCCGGAAGGTCATCCAGAAGGACATCCAGTCTAGTTAGCATATTACGCTTTTATTATTATAGATGCTGTAGTATAGAACGTATATCATGCTGCCTTATGGTCTTCTTCTCTGAAGAAGCCTGAATTTTGGGTTACTGGAACTGGGGATCCCTCTCACTATTTGGTATTCTGGAGAATAGCCCAAATCTAGGACCAAAGATGGCAGTATTTTGACAGAAACCATTATGCAACTGGGTTCCTAAGTTAAACACCACCAACCAAGGATTTAGCATGCAAACCACATATCTGGGGGCAGGTGGGGATTCAGAATAGGTGGGCTTGCTTCCCCAGTGGAAGGCCTTATCTGCCTGCCCTGATCTCCACAGCATTAGGAGGTACTGCTCCTCCAACAGGGACCCCAGACCAACCCAGAGGACATGGCAAACAGCACTGGGACCCCTCCCTTCTGAAGAGGGCAGCCAAGTGAAAGGCTTTCAAACTTCTGGGAGCCAACTGGCCTGATGAATATTAAACTTACTGACTTGGATGGGCCCTGGATGGGCACTTAGCCAAAATTAGAATATCTGGAATACTTTGAAGAATGAACAATTGAGTTTCATTCTTCAAAGGCATTCTTTGATTTGTAAAGACAGGGAGTGGAGGAATTTAGGTATTATATGATTTGTCTGTTACTCATTTTCACACCCCTTCATTTTCATTAACTCTAAATTCTCCTTAGCCTGAGCACCAGTTCAAGAGCTTGCTTTAGGCCCTAAGACACTGTTATACTTGCTAATATACACATTTGGATAGTTCCTGGGTCAACTAATGCTCTGAGCTTCATGGCCCTGGCATAGAGATCAAATTTAACATGATGAAACTATTGTTGGTGTGTCCAGTCATCCTCCCCATTGACATACACATTGGAATCCACAGGATTTCTATAGTGCCAATAATCAAAGGCCTTGATTAATGGGTATCACCATATCCCAGACATAGAAACTGAGCCACTGAAAGGGTAAGTTAAAGTCATATAGAGACCCAGGAAATGAGCCTCCCTTTGGTGCTTTGACCATACGGCTACTCATCTGAAATCTTTTTAGGCACAGCATATTAGCATGCCAGAAATTTTAAATGTATATCATTGATTTCCAACAAGGTTAAAAACCAACAATAATCCAACAGACTGTTTGGAAGAAAAGATGTAGTTAAAATAACAACAAAACTACCACTCATCATGATGTAATTACAGATAAAATAAATGCTTTGTGATTTAGACCTCACAAAAATACTCAATGGCTTTTCTCCATGATTTGTAGTTGGCCACTGTGTACTTAAATGCTTCCTGTTGATTAGAATGACTTAAATGCTTTCATGATTCCAGTAAGCCCTAAAGTGCATCATTTATGGCTTGACTTTGTAGAAAGCCCTGTCTGTGAGCTGATAGTTTCAATAGTCTTTTCCTATAGATAAAAATTACTGGCAATCTGTCCATTTCTGCAGCTAAAGATTTCCATTCATCTCTGCTCTGGGAAGTTTTTGAAAACTTAGGGAGAAATAATTCCCTTTGTTTTTACTCTGACAGCCAGAAGGAGCCTCGGGACATGAACTGGGGTCCAGGATCCAATGTGGTCATTTTCTAAAGTGCAATAGTGCTTGCTCAGTCACAGGCTGTAGAGGTGAGAGCGGATGGGTGAAGGGGTGGGCTGCCTGCCTTCCTCTGAGCACATGGTGGCCAGGAGCTGCTTAGCCTTGTTGTAGTCTCCTGATTAAAGTGCTGGGTTGTGTACGGCCATTTGAAAAGTACAAACAAGCCTTGTGGGCTAAGGGATTCTTGTTCAGAGTCCAGAGGCTTCTTGAGGATGTCCCATCAAGTCACCCCAGCTCCCGAGATCGCGTGTTCAAATCTGAGGAGAAAAGTCCATAAACAGGAAAGTCACTTTTCTGATTAGAAAATATACAATTTCTCAAAAAAAAAAAAAAAAAGATTGAAGTGAGAAACTACTGCAGGAAAAAAAGCTCATCTATCCGGAGGCAGCATGGTTCAAAACCTCATTCTAACCATTGCCCTAGTCCAAGTCTTCAGCCTCTCTGTGCAGACCTATTGCAAGAGCCTTCTTTCCTCCATTCTCTGGGCTGCAGACAGCTCAGTGCTACTGCAGCACAGTTCATGGGGCTTCCCTAGTCAGACTCTTGTAGTTCCCCACTGTGCCAGATAGTTCAGTTTGTTCCTAGAGACTCAGTCTCCACCCTGCTCTATCCCGTTCATGCCCTAGGAGGATGACATTGTAGACTATGCCACTGGCTTCCATCCCACTCTTTCCCTCAGCATAGGAGAGAAAGGAGATTGCAGTGGGGAGAGAGTGAGGTTAGGGTACGCGTTCCTCAGCAAGCAACCTCCCAGACAGGTTGCAGGTGGACTTTATCCCTCTGTCAAAGGCTATAGCGCCTTGTGTGCGTCCCCTCCTCTTGCTGTCCTCTCCAGGTTCTGGTAACTGCACCTTTCCTTTTCTCCTTCAGGCCTAGGGATGCTTAACTGTTCCCTGCTTTTGCTAATTCCAGGGTGCTTGATCTCCCTTGCTGATATCCCTTAACCCTGCTCAAATCTTTGTTAAATAGTAAAAACTTGTAAAATTGCTTTGTCACCCCTTCTATCATTTCCTTCTGAGACCTGACTAAGCATCATGCCCAGTGGAAAAAAAAATCTAATCTCCTTTGCCTGGAATTTATGACTCATAATGTCCCCAACATTCTTTCCTCTTATCTCACTCCTGGCTCTTTTCAACTAGGATCACATGCCTTTTCCTACAGATGCCCCAGTTCTCCCTGCCTCTCTGCTGTATCTCCTATGTCTCCTCTGTTTAGATAAGAAGCTCATAAAACAAACAAACAAATAAATACAAAACAACATAGAGATTGGGTCAGTTGCCAGGGGGCATGCAAAAAGCTGATCTCTTTTATTTTTATTTTAACTTGGACCAATAAGAACAGTTTTTTGAGTACCTTATCTCTAATACTCTATTGTAAGAATCTTGGATAACTAATGTTGTACTTAATTCACTCTTACAATTCCCACACAGTGTACCTGATGCAGAATCCTGAAAATAGCAGAAACTTAATACGTTTGAGAGTGAATGAATGAGTGAATGAATGACTAGCACTATACTAGGAATAATAAGACATTGTGTTTTTCTGTGATTATTTCATTCAAGAAAGTCACTTAACATCCCTTAGCCTTAACATCTCACTACCTCTAAAATGAGGAAGTCAGGTCAGTAAACTCTAACAAACCACAGCTTGATGACAAGAATAAATCTTTTTAAAAGAAAGCATAATATATACCTTTGGTATCAGTATCAACTACTACAGTTTACTGGTTGACATCGTGGTTACTTATATAAGAGCAAGAAACCATGGGCCCATATAGCACAAGCGAGTAAGGTTAGCTGCAAGAAGAATTTACACGAATGGAAAGGGCTGTGTGCCATAGACAAGGACTGAGGTGGCGTGGATTCTAGCTCCAGTTCTACCACTCAGTTATAAGATGACCTTGTACAAGTCACCTCATCTTTTACATCCTTCCAGGTTGGCTGGGCTAGTAATCTTTGAAAGGCAACTAAGACATTGGTAGGTGTTGTTGAAAGGGCATATAGTGTTTCCCTCCCTAAAGTTGACAAGGACCCAATGAAGAGTTCTATGCAATGCACTTGACTACTGGGATAAAGAGAGGTGAATGGGGAGTAGATAAAAGGACTTCAGAAAGTTAGTTCTTCATCTAGCAAGCATCCATATGTAATTAAAAGTGATACATTGGGACAGCTAAAAATGCATTAAACTACAGAGAAAATTCAGGAAACAAAAGAAGAAAACAATACAAGTTTCCATAACATAAAAATAATAATTATGGACCTTTTATATATCTATCCCATAAAGTCCCTACTGGAATACTTAAACTCTGCCATCAGGGCAGGGGAAGGGGTGTGAATGCTGGGGGGAGCGGGGGGCAATATAGAAACAATGAGCATGGCTCTGTTTTAATAAGATTTTGTTTATAAAAACTATTGGCCCCATGCTCCCATCCCCCTGTTGTCCATGTCCATTGGTTTGGCTTATATACATGTATACAAGTCCTTCGGTTGATCTCTTCCCCTTACCCCCGCCCTCCCCTACTTTCCTTCTGGGGATTGATAGCCTGATCGCTGTGAGTGTTCGGGGGGGGGGGGGGGGTTGGGGTTAATGGGGAGAATGAGGACACATTTGTAATACCTTAACTAATAAAAAAAAATCAATAAAATATATTTTAAAAAAAACTATTGGCCCCTGGTCATAGTTTGCTTAAACCCCTTTTAGTTGATACATATAAATGAATAGTAGAGTGCTAACTCTGGCTGATTCTCATTTAATAGATGCCTAATGAAAGTACACCTTCCAACAGTGGTTCTCAACCTTCCTAATGCCGCGACCCTTTAATACAGTTCCTCATGTTGTGGTGACCCCCAACCATAAAATTATTTTCGTTGCTACTTCATAACTGTAATTTTTCTACTGTTATGAATCATAATGTAAATATCTGATATGCAGGATGTATTTTCAGGGGTTGCAACCCACAGGTTGAGAACCGCTGTGAGATGTAATAGGCTTTCAAGGGAAGAGGAAGATCCTCACCTGCTTTCTAGAAATTTGTAAGTTAGTACTTTGGGAACTGCAGATGTTACTCCTGTAAGCTTTTACCCAACATAAATGCTATAATTAATATACTTATTTTCTTTTAATAAATATATGGCATACAGGACATTAATGTTTATAACCTGGTCTGAGAACCCAATTTTCCTAAATCTTATAATACTTGTTTTCTCAGGATAAGAAAAAAACAATTTAAAAGTAAATGACAGCTCTGGCCAATGTGGCTCAGTTAGCTGGAGTGGCATCTTGTACACCAAAAGGTAGCAGATTTGACTCCTGGTCAGGGCACATACCCAGGTTGTGGGTTTGATTCCTCAGTTGGAGTCCATGCAGGAGGCAACTGATCAATATTTCTCTCTCACATTGATGTTTCTCTCTCCCTCCCTCTCCCAAACCTTAGTTAAAATGTTGCTATGAAGGTATCTTGTAGATATGATTAACATATACCATCAGTTGACTTTAAATAAAATAGATTATCTTCCATAATGGAGGTGGGCCTTGTTCAATCAGTTGAAGACCTTAAGAGCAACACTTGAGATTTTCCAGAAAAGAAGGAATTCTGGTTCAAGACTGTAATAGAGACTTCCCAGACTGCTGGCCTGCTCTACAGATTTCGGACTCCAGATTGCACTTTCAACTTTTACCTGAATTGCCAGCCTACTAGCCTGCCCTACAGATTTCATATTTGCCAGTCTCCTAGTGGCTCTGTTTCTCTGGAGAAGCCTGGGGTTCATTTTGCCTCTAACAACAGGTACCGGGTTTTCTTGGCTGTCTAAACACTGGGCCCTAGACCTGTCCTCTTTCCATTCCCAAAATCAATATCTCCATATCTTGATCCCCCTTGTTCCCAGAGGATATTATCTGAAATGTTAAATTAGTTCTCAATAAAGAGTTAATTGTTGGTGAGCAACTTTATAGAGGAGGAACTTAAAAAGCATCTACTGGGGTGGGTAGGCTCTATCTCCCTTCCTCTCTGAAATCAATAAAAATATATTTTTAAAAAGATTATGTATCTAGCTCACAGGAAAACTTGAATCTAAATCTCTTGAATTTTAGTTATACGCTCTTTTGTATAAAAATAAATAATTCAGGCCCTGGCCAACTGGCTCAGTTGGTTGGAGTGTCATCCTGTACACCAAAAGAGAGGTTTCAGGTATGATCCCCAGTTGGGGAATGTATGGGACACAAATGATTGATGTTTCTCACATTGATGTTTCTCTCTCTCTCTCTCTCTCTCTCTCTCTCTCTCTCTCCCCCCCCCCTTCTCTAAAATCAATAAAAACATATCCTCGGGTGAGGATTAAAATCACACAATAAAAACATAAATATTTCAGGCATAAAGCAAAGGGGATCATACAATGGAACATCTGTATCTCTGCCACCCAGTTTAAGAGGTTAAATGTGGTGTTTATAATTTCCGTGCTGTTTTTGTATTTTTACTTCACATGACTGTTTCCATAAACACTACTTAGTGGTTGTTTGCATGTATTTAAACATCTCTATGATAGGCCATATGTTGTCTATATCTTTCTGCGATCTGTCTTTCCTCTCAAAATTATATTGTTCAGATTTAACTAACTCAAAAATACATCTAGCTTTGGTGCTTTAATTTTAATTATTGAATAGCATTCTTCATCTACTCTCCTATTGATTCATATTTTATTATTTCCAATTTGTTGGTATTAAATGTACCAGGAATATTCCTATGTGTGATTTCTATGATGTATGTTTATGTGGTGCTGACCTCTTTACATCACACCAAGTAAGTGCCAGGGAGGGGTGAGGAAGAGAGGAGGAGCATCACTCCCTTACCTCCCAGATGCTCCCTTCTCCCCTTAGAAGGTAGAGGGCTGGGGACTGTAATTGGCTGGTGGGGGTGGTGGAGCAGAATTAGGTGCATTTTTTCATTGACTTTTGATTGAGATAGTTACTCTATTTTGAATTTTAGATACCATTAAAAAAGAGTGTGAGTTTTTTGTTGTTGTTGTTTTTTCTGTTTATAAGGAAATGTACTGGTTAAAAATGATCATGCTATCCTGTTAATCCAAAGAAGTCACTCTATAATAGTGCAACATTCAGAACGGTGACAGGTTATAGGGTGAAAGATTTAGGAATGGCAGCAAGCCTTTGAGCATTTCTCAATTCCTCAAATAGATGTTTCTGTCTTCATTACTCAAATCCTAAGCCCCTTCCTGACTATAAATTCTCTCTAGCTAGGAAAGAG